CTCAAGGGAATTTTCAGAGTGCTAAATTGCACAGCCATAATTATATCATTCCATCTGGGAGATGAGGAGAGAGTGAAAATTAATCTCTTGAGCAGGCAGCAGAGAGCGAATTGGGTGAGGAGTCAAACGACTGGCTGGAGTCATCTTTCTTGGCAAGCCTGAGCTTTAATGAAGCAGAGCTAAAGGTGGGTGGAAGGGAAGGTGCTCCCCTGCACTCCCTAGCCTTTTCATAACAATTAGTCTCCTGGGATGTCATACCTAGTCAAAGAGCAGTCCTCACTCTTCCCAACAACTTAATTCATTGGATGATTCAGGAATGTTGCCATGAGTGGTGCCTTGCAGGAGGATTTTGATACCCTTGTGCAATGCTGGTGACCCACAAGGTGCAGCTCTGGGACTGGGTACAGTAGGCATTCATGTCATCCTTTCTCCTTAGCCACTTTGCAGCTGCAATACCATTGACCATGCTGGCTGGGGAGGTAAGTGAGAACAGGCTGCTTTACAGGGCTGTACACACAGCAGCAATGACCAAAGGCCCTGCCTGGAGGAGGATGCTTGTAATCTGAATTCTGACAGGGCAGGAGGGAAAGGGGAAGGGGAAGAGGAAAAACAAACCAGGGCTATCTGAGGCAATCTGGAGTAAATGCAGCCATTCAGCTGGAATGATGACGAAAGGGTTCAGCAAGGTCTTGCACAATAGGTGAGCTTTGAAGGGGGAGCTGAAGGAAGAAAGAAGGCTAGAAGAAATGGCAACAGAAAAAGTTGGGGTCTCTTCTACCAAAAACTAATGTTTCTATCAGTTACTTCTTTCACTAAGCAAAGTATATTTGTACCAACATCTGAGGGAAAATAGTGGGCTGTTGAAGAAATATAGGGCTCTTTGAAAGAAAACCTCTTGGAATGGCCCATAAGATCCTTGTCTTTCTCATGAGAAGCAGCATCTGCATTCACCTCATGTTATGATTTTATAGAACACGTCTATAAAAGACGAGGGGCCAGGCAGTGTGGTGGTGGTGGTGATGATGGTGGGCAGAAGAAGCCCTGTGGAGGCATTCCTGGTTTTTCTTTTCCAAAAGACTCAGAATGAGAGGCTCAGCTCTAATACGATGCCTATGGCAATGAGAAGGCATGTTTCAAAAAAGCCATCAATCGTTTTAACTGGCAGCTTTCCATACTCTCTTATAACCCTTCGCTTATCTATGATCTGATCTCCCTGTACCACTTGAGAATTAAGCTTTATTAAAGGCAATTCCCCCATCTTCTCAGCATGTTTGTGTGTACACACACAGATGCACAAACCTAGGAATTTACACTCCCAGATGTATTAAACTGTGCTCAGGTTTTGTAGATTTTGTTTCAGCCTCAATTAAGTGCTTTGCCCTCATGGATACAGAACTTTTCAGGTATTTGGAACACTCTAAATGCGACATAATATGTATTAAAGTGCCAAAACCAATAATTCTGGCGCACAAATGCCAGCCCCTTCCAGCTCTTACTGATACTTTGCTGTAAAGCAAGTACAGTAATGAACTTTCTCAGCAGGGTTCATTAAGACATACCCTAAGAAGTCTAATGAAAGAAAAAAAATGGTTCCCCATGAACAACAAAATGACAAAGGAACGCATTGCACAGCCATTGATGTACTTTCTGGTCTGGGCTTAGTAGCCTAAGAGAGGAGCCGTGCCAGCACCCCAGGCTTGTGAGGGCCTTTCGTCGGCATTTGCTCCCCTGGCCGTGCCCTCTCTCCTTACAAGGCCGCAGTATTTCAAGGGACCTACTCATCCTAGTTGCAGGGAGAGTAGCAGAGCCAACTGTGTTTTCTCTCTCTTTTTAAGCCCAATGTGGAGGAAAATCCCTTGGCATGATATTGGAAATTGCTATAATTAAAGGAGAAAGGGGGTGTTCCTTTCACTCCATGCTCCACACAAATAATACAGATGCCCCATGAGGGTAATGGAAGAAGAATTAGAAGCTGACTGGGGCATTTCAAAGCAAAAGGTGCAAAAGCCAAAACTGGAAGCCCCACATCAGCTTCGCATGAGCCCGGTGGCAGCCTGAGGTCAAACCTTTGCACTGGGTTGCTACCCATATCACAAGGTCAAATGTATCTAGACCAGAAGGCAACCAACAAAAGGGTATTTATTCCATGGAAAGCCAAGGTTTTCCTTGTGCAGTATATTGGCAAAAACCACAATGACCAAGATCCAGTGAAAGAAGCATGGCACTTCACACAGCCACAGAGGGCTTGGACTTGCATCTTCCAGACAGCAGTTGCCTTTGCTCTGTGATCAACCTGAAAGTGAGGGAAGCTCCAAGATATGTCCAGCTTGTCATATGATATGTGGGTCACCAGCACAAAGAAGCCCAGGTTGCAGCGGGGAGCTGGCTTTTCCCCTGGGCTACTTAAGCCAGTTGGGCATAAGTAGCTTTGGATCCCAGCTCGATTCCATCAACAGACAACTGCTTAGAGACTGTTCTCCCCTTCAGTACAGCTCATGTTTATTGCAGGACCTGGGTTCTTCATTGTCACATCCGCTAAATGAAAGACTCCCTTTATTTGATGACAACCTAAGTGTGTAGTGGACACAGCCAGATTGGGAACGGCTTTATAAAAGATCAAGGTGGTATTTACTAACACCTAAAGGAGACAGTCACAAGAACTGTGCAATCAAGTAGCTGAGGAGTACCTTTGCCCTCGACTTTGGAGACAGAAGCCTCTGTGTGTCTCAGTTTTAATTGCTGTAGCAATGCCAAGTACAACAAAGAACATTAAAAAAATGAATAGAAGGCATTTTGTTTCTAAGTTCTCCTCCCCCACCCCCCAAAACACAGAGTCGGTTTAACAGGTGAAATCAGCATGCCTTTATGAGCAGTGACTCAGGTGCTACCTTCTCTCCTGGCTTGAATGTCAAGAAGGCACTAGTCATTTTTGTGCTGCACGGTGCTTTATGGCATCAGGTGTAATAATAAGATGATTGTTCAGTTGCGTGCAAAGCTCTCTCTCGAGGATCCTTGTTGCTGCCTCCTCCCTAGAAACCACAACCATGTTGGGCTGCACCTTTCCCCCACCAACCCCCCTTCCTTGCAGGTAAACACTGGGCATCCACACGAAATCCCTGCAGGAGAAGGCTCCGCCTCGGCCCCACGGAGAGATAGCGCCAGCTCCAGCATTCTTCATCACTGACTCAGCAGCAGGTACAGGGAAATGAGGACGTGAGTCAAGTCATGCTGCCTAGCGAGGGTGGCAGTTCACCTGGCTGGGCTTAGCTGGGCTCAGCAGCTTTGCTCTGCTCTTCTCTCAGTGCACGCTCCTCCTTTTCTGCCACACTTACATTGTCTAGAAGCAGCCAGCAGAGAGCTACTGACCTCTTGGGATGCAAACCAACAGGGAAATCTGGCCCTTTTGATCACTGTGGGTGGTGTCTGAATGTTGTGGCTGTGCGCTCTCCCAGGGCAAAGCAGAATGGAGTAAGCTGCATGGATCCCTCCCAGGCCTTGACCCAATTTAAGGGACTGGTTTAGACTCACCTGAGGGGCTGCCGTTCATGGCCTGGACTTACCATACCTGAGGGAGTGCATCACCCAAAATGAACCCTTCCAGCCTGTAAATATCAGCATAAGAGCAACTGCAGGAAAAAATGGCAAGGAAGAATGTTGTTTCCAACTCTCACTCAATGCAAAAATCATTCAGGGATAGGGAATTAGCAAAAAAACCCTACATGACTATGAACACCCGAAGCAGCATATAATCTATTGCAGTTTCTGTCATCTCAGAGGCATACTGGCTATGTCCCACTTCACAGGGGCCATTTGTTGGCATCCAATTTGATGCAGGCATATTGGTAATAAAATTTACGCAGACTTTGGATACTGCCTGATGGACAGCACTAACAATCAAATGGCAGTGTGCTGCCATCCCGTCCTTCCCTTGACAGGTTTCCTATATTCACAATCAGTTGTTAACAATGCCACCAAACAATCTGGACTGTTAGGTCCAGCTTGGCTGTACTGCCTGGGTGCAGAAACTCCAGCCCTCAGTCCTAATCTGGCCTGCCAAGCACTCTGACACAGCCCACAGAGCTTTTGTGCTTCCTCCAAGGAACAGGACTTGGCCCAGGAAGACTCTCCTGCTATCTCCAGCCTCAGGCTGGAAATAATGGCAGGGGTATGGATGGCACAGGACTCCACTGTTGCTGGAAGAACAGCTGATCTTCCCCATGCTGACAGAATGGCATCAAGTGGGAAGAATCACTGATGCAGGGACACTGGGTGCCTTGTGATACCTGGAACTCCGTTGTCCCAGGAAATAGCCACTTCTGATACTAGGGAAGAACTCAGATGACTGGGGCTGGATGATGCCAAGGGCAAGTCAAAGGCCAATAACATCATCTGGTCCATGGAGGAACTGCTGGTGGGCCAGCCAAGTCCCCTCCAAAAAGAGTTCTGATCCCCTCCTGCACTAATTCAGTGGATATCGGCTTACAGTGTCTGGGTTTAGACATGATAACTCACAATCAAAGGCTGAATATGGATTAAGTGAGGGTTGTCACTGAACAGAGGGTTGTTGTTGAAGCATGCTTATTGTGCTTTCTGAGCCAGGCAAGATAACAAGACATGGTGAAAGCCCAGAGTTCACAACCCAAGAACAAATCATGGGATATCTTCATGGGTTGATTGCTGTTAACTAGCCATGGCTTGTCAATGCACCTGGGTTCAGTTGAACATGTAGTTCAACAATAACCTACACTCAGCCCTTGTGTGGGTTACCATGTTGTCTGAACCCAGTCATTTTTTTCCTGAAATGCAAGCAGATAAAACTGTTATCGAATACAACATTGGATGAATAAAGATGTAAAGAAGCAAACCCAACTGAATAAGGGGCTTATAGATAGGATGTTCAAGAGCAAGGCAGCTCAGAAAGAGAAATTCCAGAAAATGAGAGAAAGGCAGGAAAGCAAGGGGAAAATAAGTGGTCCAATGACTCAGACACATTTTTTGAAATCTCTTTTATTCAGACTCATCGAAGTTAAAAAGTCATTCTCTGTTACTAATCATCATTCTGTACTGGCCTTGTATGTAAAAACAACTCCCCCACGGCAAAGAAACGATTCTATGGCGTTTCCTTAAAGTAGTCCATGAGCACCTCTGTGCAGGTGGCAACTGCATGAGACCTGGGAAGCATCACTCCAGCAGTATGACACAGGAAGCAGTGTCATCAGAAATGCATTTGCAATTAAGACTCATCAATAAAACCTCCCCCCACCAACCCCAAGAAACCTTGATGAAAGGGGAAGAAATTAAAGGCCACAGGCATAGACTGCTTACATTAACAAAGTGGGGGTGTAATCCATAAATTGTCATAAGGCGCAGGTCTTTCTTCAAGGAATCAGGCTGAATGCAATTAGCATGAGAAGGTGGATGTGATATATTAGACACTCAGCTATACCAAGAGTGTAAATTAGCAATGTACAGAGGCTTCCCCAGAAGTAAATGCCATAAGCTTAAAATGGGAGGGTGAACTTCTTAGCCAGATTAGAAATATTAGGAAATCACTGGACATATAAAGACAGCATTTCAGAAGACTGGACACACTTGGAAGAAGCACATTTTCACCTACTATTCGCCACAAACACCTTGCAGACTGAAAAAGGATACTTCCTTGCTCTCAGAGTAAATCTCCTTTACAAGATGCAGATCAGGCAGCTCATCCCCTCACCTATGAATATGACACTTATAACCTCATTTAGGATGACTGGTTTAGAAGAAGAAAGTGATGCCCATTTGTTGAACTTAGGTACGTGAATATTTCCAAAGCCCAAAGAAAGAAGTGTAGGCAGCTGACTCGTATATCACTCTGTGTGTACCTGTAATCCTTCAAGCTTCTTCGAGATTGCTCTGCTTGTTACATCATGCAACAAGATTCGTGAACAAACAGCAAAGGCAATCACCATGGATCAGACCTGGCCATTGTGGACAGGAAACCTCTCCCCCAGATGGGAGAATGTAAGATACCTTGCAGCTTCTCCGATATGCTCATACCACTATCCCTGATAGACAAGAAATCATTGGATGGCACGAGGGAAAAAAATCACAATCAGGAAGGCTTTTCCCGTGTTTTCTAAAACTATCCATATAATGTTATGGCAAATTTTTAAAGTCCATATAATTAAAGGCAAATCAATATTAACCCTGACCAGTATGATTATGTAAAATGTAACATTCCTGTTCCAGCTTCTGCTGTGCATTTTGCCCAGACTGACATATTCTGAAGGTCCAAAAGGGGGGAAGATGGCATTTCCTGTTACCCAAGTCCAACATCCAGGGACATCATGATCACAAATCCTAAGATGGAAGTCCAGGAAGCCAGCTTCCCATTGCCACTGCAAAGCAAAAAAGAGGAATGTAGATCTGTATTCCATAAGGAGCTGTTGTTGGGCATGACAATGGCTTTTTCAGCATGGTGTGACATATAAGAGTCTTCCAAAAATCATTAGGGCAGTTAGATCCCAAGGTCCCAAGGATCCCAAGGTCCCAAGAATCAAAGTATTCTTTGATACTTCATTCAAAAAATCACATTCCTGATTATGTATGCCACTCTGGCTGCACACAGAAGCATGAATATCTTGCATTTCTCATACTACAAACTTTTTGCAGTAGTGAATAAACAGCATTGTTGCCTTGCACTAACACTGGCTACTGTGGCAGTAACAAACAAGGATTTCCTGTCTGAATGCTTTGATTCTATTTCAGACTTCAAACACACAAGATTTTCCCATGGACTGCAATCTGGCATAGCAGAATCGACTACTGGTAGGCACCATGTCTAAATGCCATGAAAAAACACTGGGATATTAGATTTCTTAATATGGGATACTTGTGCCACAATACCCAGAAGCAAGTCATGTCATTACGAATGTGGCAAGCTCTTTACAGCAATGTATAATGAGAGCAGTGACAGAGTGCCAGGCATTTGCTGATGTACCAGTTTACCCATTTAATATCTGCATGTTCAAAGGCCAGAATGAACAGCATTTTGAAAGCAAAAGAGGTGCATAGATGAGGGTTGCTAAATCCTTCCCTTTATCCCTGCTGTAACCCAAGGAGGTAAGTTTTTTTTTTCTTTTGATAGACTTAAATACATTTTTTAAAATTTCACTTTTACCCTACATTTCTTACAAGAAGCTAAGAGTGATATACACAGATTCTTCTTGCTGCATGTTCACAACAGGCCAGTTAGGCTGTGAGTGTGACTGGCTCAAGGTCACTCAGTGAGCTTCAGTGCTGAGTCATGAACCAGAGATTTCAAGTCACCATCTAACTCTCTGGACCCTACAGCCTATTAGCTTGCCTAGAAGTTAGTCTAGCTGAGAGGAAAGAACCTCAACTAGTGGCATGGCTGCGCACAAGCAAAGTGGGGGAAGCACACTATGAACAGGGTGGCAGATTTAGCACCGTACCAGTATGCACCCTTTGCTCATAAAAACCAGAGGGCCAGGGCCGACTTTACAGGTGCGGATATGCATTTAATGGGATTGGCCTACTGCTTTTTCATCTACGTTTGGCCCCCTCTCCACAGAAGAAGAACTTCCTTACTGTTGTTGTTAACTGAAAGCCTTTCAAAATCTTTAGTTTTCTACCAAAACATCAACTTGAATCTATGGAGCTGCTGACATGTAATAGCGGCAAATCATGAGTTAATTAATCCACAATTCACATTGGCATATACTAGCCATGTATGCAACCTTTTTGAATTCAGTCCCTGAATTAGTTTCATTGCAGGTTCCTATCTGAGGTTCAAACCTCGATGCTATAGGTTATTCCTGGATTATACAACTCCAGTTAAGCTAGCCACTACTTTTAGGTTAATGAACCATGATCTATTGCTGCTATGTGTGAACTGGTTCTATGCAATATGTGATTTCAGACACATTGCTAAAGCACCTGGCTTAATTAGGTGAGATTGTGCTTCTGTGTTAAGTTTCCCTGCATGATCAGGGCATTAAACAATGTGAAGAAAACAGGTGGGGAGAGATGAGTAAGACTTCCTCACCTGATCTGAGCTTCTGGGATGATATCATCCATCACTACGTACACCATTGCCCCTGCAGCAAAAGCCAAGGCATAGGGAAGAAGAGGCTCTGCTAACAGCATGGCAAAGGCCCCAAAGATGCCGGCTAAAGGCTCCACCATACCACTTAATTGCCCATACCTGGAAAACAACCAAAACAAAACTGTCACTGGAGAAGCTCTAGACAGACACATGATTCCATGACTTTATGTACAGTGGTTTCTTTTTTACCCTTTTCCCTTTCAGCTGCTGCACTTTAGAGAGTGCAGAGTGAACACAAATCAGCTCTCCTCCCTTCCCTTTGCCAACTTCTTCTCTGGGGACAGAATAGTAGGGATCTTTGTCAGCCCTTACAAAGCAAACAGAAGTTCCTTCAAGTCATTCAGGAGCAAACACAGCAGAGGACAAATCCCCTCCTTTAATATGAAAGGTGCCAAATGCTATAAGCAAAATATGAGAATATCTGGCTACAGCAGGCTGGTAATGTTCTTCCTGATGGCTCTCCTTTTCCTTCCTTCCTTCCTTCCTTCCTTCCTTCCTTCCTTCCTTCCTTCCTTCCTTCCTTCCTCACCAGGTTTTGGTTTGTGCATGTTGCTTTTAGAAAGAAACTTCAAGACAGTAGATAAATTCTCTCTCATCTGAGAGTTTCAAGGGTTTCCACAAAATGAGAATCTTTATCATCTGACGGTTAAAAGAACGTAACATATTTTCTCATATAAAAATGTGCCATGGGAGACATGGCTGCAAACATGATTTACGTCCTTTCAGCACAATCACCAAACTCTGTGCATTTTGCTTTTGCAGGCAGTCTTGGATAGTCGGAACTGGTAGCCAGTTCCATACCTGGAACAATGGTTCATGGGTAACCTTTCAATTTGCTGTGATAGAAATGCCTGTAAGCAGAGAGAATGTTGGAACAGGTAACAATTTGTATGCATTGGAAGTCAAATGCATTTTTACTCCAAGACTTTGACAGGTAAGGATGCCCCAGTCTGCTAAAAGCACATAACACTGTTAGGTCCAAACTGCAAACCACTGGTGATCCAACATGAAAAACAAGAGGTCCCAAGAGCTTTGGTTAGCTGCTTCATATGTTTTAGCTGGCAGTATTCAACACTTTGATAGTGGGAACGATTGATGGCAAAAGGAGAAGGGGACAGCAGAGGTTGAGGTGGCTAGATGGGGTTACTGGGGTGGTGGGTGTGAGCTTGGGTGAACTCCAAGGAATGGTGGAGAACAGGAGAGCCTGGAGGAATGTTGCCCATGGGGTTGTGATGGGTTGGGCCTGACTTTGCAACGAAAAAACTACAACAAATTCAACACTTTGCTAATGCCATATTGCCCGCCCATTTGCTGGGGCATAATGGATAGCTTCTCAAGCAGGAGTACAAAATGCTAGCAATTTGATTCCTAGTATGACTGCATTCCGCACATTTCAGTAGGATCTCAGCAAGACAGAGGTCTGTTTCTGCAGTGAAGTCCTCTGAAAGCACCCTTCTGGTACCAGACCCAGTTGTCTGTCATGGGCATCACTGTGGAGTTCAATCCTGCAGCATCTCCCTCTCTCGTAAGAGAAACTAGCATTTATTTAGGTGGATGCTATTTGGCAAGAAGAGAACTTGTGCAAAAGACATTCCCAGCATTCTGCTTCTGGTTTCGCTCATCCATCATAACGCTTGGTACACGTGTGTAAGCACTAATACAACCTGACAGCTCACAAGTTCACGGCCTTGGCTGTTTCACCTCCAGAGAAGGGGGGAAGCGATTTTGAAATCCAGCCCAGAATGAACGGAAAGGAAACTATTCCTTGATCCAGATTATGTGAGCTACCCCATCAGTGCAACAATACAGAGCTAGCACTGGGACAACAGTTATCTGTTTAGCAGTTTATTGCACCATCGGTTTCCCAGAACAACTACCATGACATAGATTTATTGTTCAGAACGGACTTCTACTGGTAAAAGCCTGTAAACTTTCATGTTACAAAGAAATCTTCAAATAGGATGATGATCATAACAACTACTTGGTTTACTTATTATACTGTAACACCTGACTGGTTTTGGGATCCATAAATTGTTGACTCAAAGAGAATATGAATATCTCATTTATCTGAAGTTTGCTTGGGAGCCTTGTGAAAGGCTAAACAGAGGTCTATACATACAAGAAAGTTAGACAGAGAATGTGATGCAGACAGATAGACAATTAGCCTGCACACCTCAGGAGAGCTTAAAAAATTCCATATCAAGCCAGTTTCCATCCCCACCAGGAGTGAAGCTTTTGTAATTGTTCTTATGGACTAGGCCACTCCAAAATACTTGATATTGCAAGTATGGCTCACAATACTACCACCCCAGCTAATGTGGGGATTGTGGTTGTGGCCAAGGAACAGGCAAACCTGTTACAAGGAGGTAGAAGATGACAGCCTCATTCTTGCTAATTATGATGACAGCCCAGCCCTTTAACATTTTGAGCCCAGGACCATTGAGCTGAAGTCAAGTGGATCATTTTCTGGGCAGCAGATACAGTGAGCAGGGTTACAAATTCTCCTTCAACCTCTTACCTATCTACTGCTGGTCGTGGAAGAGATGAACAAATCACCCACAACCACCACTCCCCAGTGGTGAGCTGCTTCTTCCCAGGAAGTCCCCTCTGTCCACTGCGTGAGTATAAATGGCCGGTTCGCTAGCTGAAGCTGACCTTTTTGTATCAAGCACTCAAGGTAAGATTTGGGGGACCAAAACAAGTAAATGTTAAACTATATGACAACAACTAAATTAGAAACACAACAACCCAGTGTCAAATGTTGAGCAACAGTTGAGTGTGTTTTGTCATTGAACTGTGTATTGTTGTTAAAACATGGGTTGTATAGTCTTTACCCAGCTACACAAACAAGCTATGGCTTGTCAACCACAAACAGAGAACCCATGGTTTGTTGTTGGCTTGTGAACTGTGAGCTGTTTGCCATAGTTAGTTATGCCACTTGCATTGAGACAAGACAACGACAATAACAACCTCATGGCAACGTGAGTTAAATGGCAACTCACACTCTACCCATAATCAGCCACTGAATGTGGGTTGAATGTGGGTTCAGATAATATCCAAAGTTAACCATCATAATTATGGCCTATTATATGAACTTAGTCAAAGAGTTAAGAGGTTTGTAAGTCCTACTGAAAGTTGGATGTAACAGGGTTTTGAGCAGCCACAATGTCGGGCCATTTTATAAGACATATGAAAACAAATGACGTAAATAGCAATGACCTCTTCTAGGATTAAGGAGATAGCATGAATCCAAGCCACTTTTATAACAGTTCCACTGCTATATCAGGAAACACAAAGGCAACCTGAAAAACAGCTTTTGGACCTTACTTACCAGAATGCTCTCCATGTTGAAAAGCCAGCTCCGCGTAAGGGGAGGCTAACAGCTAGCCCTTCCGGAAAATTTTGAATTCCAATTCCAATTGCTAAATTCCTGTGTGAATAAAATGAAATAGAGTATAGATGTTATATAATAGAACCGGTGCATGTGTATGGGTGGAGGAAATAAAGAGACAGTAGTCTGGGATAGTCCGTTTGCTGGAGAAAAATTCCTTGTTATTAAACATGGTTCTTTAATGTCAGTGTTTTCAGCCCTTGGGGCCTAATGTAATCATGCTAATGCTTGGCATCCAACTCATGATTTTCATCTTCAAAGTGTTTTACATAACTTACTCAACTTAACAATGCCCCTGGGAGGCAAAGAGGAACAGAGGTGGGTGGAGAAAAGACTTGTCAAAAAGAGGTAGAGACCAAGTTTAAAATAGCTTTCTATGTTGAATTCCAAAGAGCTGAAACACACACCAGAGGCAGAAAGCTTAAAAAAGAAAAGTGTGTGTGTGTGTGTGTGTGTGTGTGTGTGTGGCGAGGGAAAGTTAAGTCTCTGTAGCCTGCTTTTCACATTACTTTTTTAAACACAACACAGGTAATGCATGCAAGCCTTGAGTTGAAAGGAAATGGCAAGTCTAGGAGACAAAAATGTTTTGCATTATTCACAACACAGGCAGCTTCCACACAGTATAATGACAAGGGGTCTGCAACCTTTTTGGGCTGGTCCTCAGATTTAATATTTTGAAAAACTGTCAAGGACAATATCACAAAATATGCACACCATAGTGGGTGCAGCCAGTCACAAAACTTGTTTGCAGCCCATGTGGAGCCTAAAGGCAATCTGCAGAAGGAAAATGGAGATAACAGAAATTGCAGGCCAGGTGCTTCACTGTGAAACTGCCCCAAACACTAAATTTTAAAACAAAGATTGGGAAGGGTAGGAGACTTGGATGGGCACTGGAGGAGCTGCCTGTGTGTACTGGTGTCCATGGTCACCATTGTTGTGAGCTGGGTTTCCCTCCCTCTGCATTTCAAAGCCACAGATAGTTCTTTGCAAAAGTTCTTTATTCGCCAAAGTATACCCAGTGAATTCAATCACCACTGGATGAATCTCTGAGCATGCAGAAAGTGGTCCTCTGACCCCAATCTAGCAACTACTCCTGGAAACCCTCCTTTGGAGGATGTCTGAGCCCCATCCCCTGGGAGGGACCTTTTGGAAGAAAGCCAGTCTATTCTCTGTCCACCCACCCTCCTGTTGGCTAACCCTCCTCTTCTGACACCCTGCCATGGGGTCAAGAGTCATCTGGCTTCATGTGGCTCTGAGAACTCCTCTCTCAGCCCCACTCTTAACAGTTCTACATTTTGGCTATTCCCAGAACTTTTCTCAGCACCTAAAGAGAGTAGCCTTGAGAGAAGCTTGTCTGCTTTTCCCATCTCAAAGTCTGAAGCCCCCAATTCCCCCTGACTCAGAGTCCAGATTGGTGTGAGGCAGGAGTACGTGACAAGAACTGTTCCCCCTCATATTCCTAACAACCACCCTGGAGACCACAGGGATAGGCACCAACCGTGAGCTACCACCGTTTGAGAGTCTTTCCATGCAGGGCCACTGCCACAGGACGATGCTGTATCTCACTCAGAAGTGGTGCTAGGTGTCAGGAGGCAGCCCGCTAGGGCCGAAGCCCTCCTGTCCTATGTCCACACTTTCTATGGGGAACAAGAAGTGGGACTCCTGAGGCTTTCAGTGAACCAATCTTCCTTCCCCAAATGTGCATTCTGAACTAAGTGGTATAAATGTATGGAGAGATCTCTCATGTGCCATTCAACAAATGCTTCATTTTATATGCCCAGAGACTCGAAAACCCACATTATCTACAGAGCAGCAATGAGTTGGAAGAACTGCTTCCTAAAATGCTTTAAAGGAAGCGGCAACATCATGCCTCACCATCCCTGCCCAAGCACACACATAGCCCAGTTGTTTGTCCACCTCCTGCAAACCTCGCTGAGGAGAAGGAGACTGTTCTTGACCTAGGAGCAAAGAAGCTACCTGATGCCAGGATGGTCCATTGGTCCCCTCGCAACAATGACTGCAGCATTGCCCAGGCTTTCAGAAGAGAGTCTTCCAGGTCTACCTGGAGATTCCAGACTTGAACCCAGAAGCTTCTGCATTCAAAACATGCGCTCTGCTGCTGAAGTCTGTGGCCTCCCACACTTCAACCAGACCCAACTGCTGTCACATTGGTGAACAAAGCAAGGCTAAAGCAAAACAAGGCAGAGATGAAACCAGCCACAGGAGGACTACAATGGTCGAGTTTTCCTGCAGTTCAGACTAGTGAGTCAACCTGACCAGGGAGCTTTAACAGCAGACGTGGGCAGACTTCAGATGCACTTGAGCTCTACTATCAGAAACTGGTACAAAAGACAGACACTTACGATTAAAGAATGCTAATCCCAAGAACTGAAAGCAGCCCACCATCCTTCCGCAAAACAATCCACTTCTAATTTCCCAAGGTTTTCTTCATGCCTGGGAACCAAAAATCCCTGGTGATCTACTGCAACTCACTCAGAGATCTACCTTCTGCCAATCCCTCCTTTACAGGTGGAGGGCATCATCACATCATTTGCTCAGAGAACACTAAGAAGCTTCCTTTCCTGCTGGACTACCTGGTTTCCCTTTCATTTCCCTTGTCCAGCCAGAACAGGAACTTGCCTGACCTTCTTTTCCCCTACCATCAGCCCTTTGTGTTCCTAGGTGGAAGATACACAGCAGCCACGGCAACTCGGGGCCTAGAAGCCCAACTTCCTTCCCTCTCATCAACATTTTGTATTAGTCACAAAAGCATTGTTTGCAATGTCTCTGTTGAAGGAGAATGTAGTCCTATACCAGATGTCTGAGGTATGAGTTCCACCTGTTGCTGAACACCAATTCTTTTAGTCCCAGATAAATGTGAATTCTCGGACAAAAGGAGGAGTGATTGACTCTCATATTTTTAGTATATCTGTGGCCCCCTGAAGAGGGGAGGGGCTTTAAGGTGGGTATAACCAAAACTGCAATTGAAGAACATGGACCACAGAACTGTGCAACATGCATTAGTTTCCCCCAGTGTAGGAAAGATGAAAGGCTGGGCTGGAAGCTGCTTGAAAATATGATGTGTTAAACTGTAATTGTAAACACTGGATAGAACATCTGCTTCTTTCACTGATGCCATGCATGTGAAGGGAAACACAAAAATCAGAGTCAATTTACTGTCTGGCTTTTAATACTTTCCAATGGGTAACTAAATCTTTTTAGTAGAGATTAGCCTTCCTGATGAGTTGGATTTTGGTTCCCAGATCCTCAGCCTGAAAGCACCAGGCCAGGTGCTGAGCATCTGAATTACTCTTATAGCACAATCCTGTGCAAGTTTAGACAGAAAAAAGCCAGCGATAGTTGGAGCATGCTGAGAGTTGAAGGTCTCTTTTCTGCCTAAATGGCCTAGGATTTCACCCTTAATACGTTGTTTAACACTAAGCAATGAATCAGCATTGGCAAAACTTAAAAAAAAGAAGAAAAAAAACAAGAGCAGCTGTTTAGTGTTCCACTACTCTTAGAAGCAAGCATCCAAAAGATGGCATGTTTAGTGCTCAATTGCTGATTGAGAGGGAATACCATCTTGCCTAGGGGATGTCAAACCACCAAGGTTGAGATGTTCTTAGAAGAGACAGAATTCACACCAGCGTGCTGCCTTTCAGTTAAACGGCAAACACATCTTGTCTGTGAACGTGGGAGTGGGCCAGTGAGGTTCTGCAGGAACAATATTGTGTTTTAATGTGAAAAATCTCTGTTCAACCACAAAACTCCCTGGGTGGGCTTGGTAAAGTCATGATCTCTCCGTCTGATCCCCTTGGCTGGCATCTAGGGGCAATAAATGAGCAAAGAGGTTCAAAGCCTTTGATACATGGCAAAGAGGAGCTGCCTTCCCCTTCGGCACTGCCCCTGACTTTTCTTACTGTCTCAGGTGTTATCAGTGCTCCATTCTTGTTTCCTTATGCTGCAGTGCATGTGTGAATCTGTTCTGTCCTGAGATGGGCTACCAATGGTCACTGGATCTCACTAGATGACCCAGACAGACAACAGAGCTTGGGATACTGAGATAGCCTGCCTCATCATCTTACAAAGGTCTGGAGACAAATGCCGTCTTTGTGTTGTTCTTATGTGTCATCAAGTCATCTTTAACCTAGGGTAGCATTGTGAATGAAAGCCTTCCAAAATGTTTAAACCCTACCCCCTGACAGCTCCATTCAGTTCTTCCAAGTTCAAGGCTGTGGCTTCCTTTATGGATTATTTGGTCTTCCCTGCCAACCTTGCAGTTCGAAAGCATGCAAATGCAAGTAGATAAAAAGGTACCACGTCAATAGGAAGGTAACAGCATTCTGTGCACCTTGGTGTTTAGTCATGCTGGCCACACGACCACGGAGACTGTCTGCGGACCAACACTGGCTCCCCCGGCTAGGAAATGGAGATGAGCACCGCCCCCTAGAGTCAGGCATGACTGGACTTAATGTCAAGGGGAAACCTTTACCTTTACCCCTCTTCTTCCTCTGACTTTCCTTATGGTGGTCTTCTCCAGTGAGTCTTGCCTTCATAAGATGTGTCTGAATGACAGCCTCAGTTTTGTCATTTTTGTTTCTAGGGAAAGCTCTGGCTTGGTATGATGCAGGACCCACTTGTTTGTCCTTCTGTTGGTCCAGGGTATTTGCAAAGCTTACAGTATCATGTCCTGTCAGCTTTCTTCACTGTCCAACTTTCACTCCCATAGGTTCTGATTGCAACTACTGTTGTGAATACAGTAGTTTGGATTATCTTGATCTTGGTCTCCATTAAAACTTCCTTATACTTGATGTTCTTTTCCAGTTCCTCCATTGCTGCCCTTCCAAGTCTCAGTCTTCTTTGGATTTCTTGGCTGCAGTCTCCCTTTGAATTGATGACTGAGCCAAGATAAGTGAAATCTTTCACAATTTCGATTTCTTCATTAGGAACAGCAGTCCCCCAAGTGGTCCCTAGTACATTAGCTAAAGGTTTAAATCCTGTTTGGAGGAATTTTTTCAAGAAATTATACACCATTTTGT